TCATTGCATTCTGTTTTGTTTTTTTAATATATTTTACACAACGTCCCAACTTTCGAGGAATTAGGGTTACACTAAATGCTCGTTAACAGTTACAAAAATACTTCATAGGTCTTATCGTGTTGCCTTGGCTTTCAGAAAACATCTGCGTAGACTCCTTGCTTTGAAGAAAAGCGCAAACCGAGGCGTTGTAAGGCTGCTGTTCGGCTACAACAAATATAGAATGAGGTTTCAATATGAAAGCTACAATCTACGTTGTGAAAGCACTTGAACTTTCATGCACCCCCTGTTGAAACTAACCCCCCAGCCTGGACGAGGCTGGTGCTCACTGTGAGTTAGGGTGGGTGACTGTAAGGCTGCAGTTAAAAGACAGCTTAAGAAAAAAATAACAGTGTTTGGCAATTTATTTTTATTTATTTTTTTGCTTCTTAGCTTAAATGCTGTCTTGTAATCTGTATTTTTCAGGACTTGATAGAGAAGTTTACTTTATGAAAAGCCACACAAAAAAAATGCACTGGAACTATTTTTCTGCTGTAATAAATATCCATGCTATGTCAGAAGGACTGGTAAATATTTACGTGATGATTCAGATGTTTTGAAGTGGGATTCTGTGAAAGATTATACACAATTACTATCTTACTTGTTGCAGATCAATTATCCAACAACATCAGTTTGGAGAAATAGGCCACAAATCTCATCTAGCTCTGTCCGTGGAATTCCCTGTGCATTTCTTATCATTGTTTATGAGATTTCCTGTGATAGGTAAACATCAGATCACATCTGCAACAGATGTGCCTGGGGAAACACTCAAACCAGCAGGCGGTTGGGTAGCTAATGCTCAAAACAGTGAGTTTAGGATGAGTTCACCAAAGACCATCGACCAGCTCTCTGTTCACTGTCCCAGTCTGAGTGGTTGTCCTCTATTTGTTTATGTTACAGAATGTGCATCTCACGGTGTTGTTAGCCTGTTAGCCTGTTCCGTTCTGCCGAGTGAGGCTCTCCCAGGGGCAGATGATTTCCTCAGTTTCCACCCCTCCCTCAGAGGCAGGCCTGTTCTCCTCCTCCTCATCCTCAGATTCGATGGGATAGATCCGACACTCAGGAGGTATGTCTACTTTTATCTGAAAAAAGCTAAATAAAAAAGTAATAAACACAGAAAAGATGATTTTATAAACTCAACGGTCTTAAAGTGTTTCTGTCTGGAGTTGTTTACGAAAATACAACAATGGAGTTGAACATCTAGAGAAAAACAATGTTTAAAAGCACCGGTAAAATAAAACTTCAACACTTGCTCTTGTCAAGGGCGTACGCTTTTCCCCCTCCTCTCCCTCTCTCCTTTGCTTTTCTCTGTCCTGTCTGTGAAACTCCTTTAGAGCCTCTCTTCTACCAATCTTAAATCATAATTCTGCTATGGATTTGGTCAAATGGTCCCTGAACGCGATTGACAACATTTCTTCGAAGAGAAGATGTGCTTTTTTTTTTTTTAGCATGGACTTTTTTGGTTAAGGCAGGCTTTAGGCGAGCCGACTTGCCCTGCTGGCACGCATGAAGCTGGATATCTCATCGACCTGGAAGACTTGATGATGTGTCTATCTCTGCTGTCAATTGAGAATGTTAAGGACGCATATATAATTGAATTTAAGATAGTTGGTTTCCTGTTTTTTTTTTTTTTTATTCGGCTGGTTCCTGGTTTATCAACAAACAAGGAAGTTATCAGCAGCACATTTGGCCCTGGTCAGGCTGCCTGCCTTATGTGATGGCTTGGTTCGTGCCTCGAGCACCCAGACTCAGTTGCTTTTGGCAGGATGGATCAGATCTCGGGAATTACTCTCAGGTACGGACCAGTGGTGTGGCCAATTAATTTGGACATTTCGGAACCGAGAGGACCGACTTAAACTCGAGGTAGAAATAATCAGTAAAGTTCTGCTCGTCTCCAAAATAATTGTGTTTATCTGAGTTTGGCTCCCTGACTGGCCTTGACAGGCCACCTTATCTTAATTCGCCTGGAAGCTCTGTAAACCTTGATGCTCTGCCCCCACCCCTCCTCCCACCTAGGAAGTCTATGGACCAATCAGAGGGGCCCAGCTGAATAAATATTCTGTCATCATTTCAGAACTTACTTGCCCGTTCGTCTGGGTGGAGCCTGACTCGGTTCATCTGGCGTGATCGGCTGAATGCGGCTACTCGTCGCCGCAGTTGTGTGACATTTCGGTGACAAGCTGGCAAACATGGCAGAAGGGCTGCAGCCTCTTTTCAGCAGGCGGCGAAGGGACAGGGCCACACGAGATTTGGACACGTTCCCTCCGTCGGGGGCTCGAGGCTCGATGTTGCGCTCACCTTCACCCTCGCTGGCCTCCAAGCGGCGCTCGGAGACGGAGGTGCTGTCCAAGGCCACGCTGATGGGGGACGGACACGTCGGGGTGTGGGCCAAGAAGGGGAAGGAAGGAGAGGCACTGGCAGAGGGGGGGTCGATGATTCCAGAATAGACGGCGAGGTGAGGGACAGGGGTGGTAAATCTGCAGAGCTGTGAGGTCAAAGGTCAGGAGGCACAAGTCAGAAGGTATCCAGAAAAGGCCAAATACAAATACAAATATAAATTTTGGAAGCCATTTACTACAAAAAAAGCATTAATACGTTATAAAAGGCATCCTGTTTACTATAAAAGTTATTTTAAACGTTTTTAATCTACGTATTTAGCGTAATGTGTGGCAAAAAAAAATCAATTTTTAATTTCACTGAAGGAATCTTCCCAAGGAATAAATAAAGTTTTATCCAATCTAATCTAATCTGTTCGCATTTACTTATGAATTGTGATTTATCATAAATCTTTATTGTGCTTTGAAGGAAACAAACATCTGGTTATGACTTTTAGAATTTCCAAAAAAGTGAACAAAACACAGCCTGCAATTGGGAGCAAAATCCAAATCTGCAAGTAAAAATAATAAAATTCCGATTTCTCTTTAGTTGATGGATGGCGGGCGATGTCTTAGCCAATCAAAGTAGAATGGGCGTTTTAGGGAACGGAAGCAGCTTTTCCTGGGAAATCTGCAAACATGCAAAAGCAAGGAGGACAATGACTGTAATGATATGTACAATATTGGAGGCTAATCTGTAAAAAAATAAAAAAGGGAAACTACAGAAAATGGATTTCCTGTGAAAATGCAGCATGAATGATTATTGCTGAATGTTTTTGCTGAAAGCTGATGAAAATGTTGAAGCCAGGCTGAAAGGTTTCTTCCATAAACTGTTAAGTTGAATTTGAACAGCTGACATGTGCAGGAAAATAAAGGCAGAAAGCAAAATGAAAACAGCAGATTTGAACAGAATCAGCTAAAATAGGCAGAAAGATGCTGAACAGATTACAAAACAATATTAAATGAACAAAAAAAGAAACTGAAATAAGCAGAATACATGAAATAAGTAACAAGGGAGGCTAAAACAAAATAAGCTATAAAATAATAAATAAGCTCATTTTCAACGAGGAATAAAATGACCAAAAAAGCTAAATTTGAAAAACCAAAAGTCACAGCATAAAGGAATGAGCTGAACATTTTGATTTATAAACTGTTAAAATTTACACAATTGTGCAAAACAGAATAAGTTTTGGTTTAAAACATTAGATACTGGAACAGTTCAGGGGTTCCCAACACTGGTCCTTGAGGAACACCATCCTGCATGTTTTAGTTGTTTCTCTGCTCCGACACACCTGATTTTAATTAATGGGTGATTTACAGGCTTCTGCAGAACATGAGGAAGTAATTAAATCACTGAATCAGGTTTGATGGAGCAGGGAAACAACTAAAACATGCAGGATGGTGTTCCTCAAGGACTAGGGTTGGGAACCCCTGCGATTAGCACGATAACAATATTGGTTAGAATAATTTTATCTCTGTTATAGGAATTTCAAAAAGGGTATAGAAAAACCAGAGGAGGACTGCAGTTTTTAATGTACTTCAAATGTAAGGATATGGTGTATCTTTGTTAGTTGTCTTTTATTTTTTTTAGAATAAAACCACAAATATTATTGGTTTGTACATTATTTTAGTGTATAACCTATATCCTAAAATATGTACTTTTTTGTGTGTCCGTTGTAAAGATTGTTTGTTTTTCTGTTTGTCCTAAATTGAGTGGAGTTTGGTTTTATGTGAACACAGATTTTTATCTAGAGCTTGGAAAACAGATGATTTTCATGCAACATGTTTTAACTAAAAAAGATATATAACAAAAAAAAATTGGGTTGTTAGATTCAGATCCAAACAAATTTGTATTTGATATTTTGTTGCAACACTGGGCTGAGTAACTTTTTATACCATTAAAAGCCGTAACTTTAGAAGGAAAGAATGGAAATGTTATGTCTAAAAACAACAATGTGCAGCATAACAAACTGTTTATGTGACGTTTTATGGAAAAAGAAGCAACTTAACACAAACAAATAACATGAGGTAGTTTTTGTGGAGACTTTATTAACTTATGATTGACGACAAAGAAAAACAGAAAGCAACAGAATAAACAGAGAAAGGACAGACAGAATAACCCAATCAGAATGAGTTTGTACATAATGAACATAAATGTAACAAAAACAGACTAAATGTTTTTATTCAGTCGTACTAAAATTATATAATTTAATGTTTCAACACTAATCTGTCTGGAAAAGCTCTCAAACTCTGACTAACTGCATGTGCACATAAAGAGATTGAACTGGACTACTTACATTTTTTATTTTTAATGCATATCAAGTTATGTTTATTGCTATTTTACCTTAATACGCACATTTACCTTAAGTTTAAAACCACATGGTCAAGTTATTGCTTCACTATTGCACATTCTCCTTAAGAAAAGAAAGTTTTTGTTGTATTTTATAACTTCAAAACAAATAAAAAGCAACTGCTATGGTAAAAGTAATGATTAGAGCAGCATTGCTCTCAAACTGAAACAGCCTATCTTTAGAATTAGGAAAAAAATAACTTCAAATATTAAACAAAAGACTGTTCGTCCCTGAACATTTTGCGTTTGCATTTATTTGTTAGGAGGACGAGGGGGAACCTCCTTGCCCTGCTTGCTGAGTTTGCTCATGACCTGCGTGATGTCAACGGGGGCATTGGCGGCCATCTTGGCCCTTTGCTCCTGCTCTTGTTGTCGGATGATGATGGGGCTGAGACTGGGCCGTCTGTTCCTGGCGTTCTGCTCCAGCTGTGAATCACTGCAGCGACATAGAGAGAGAAAAAGAAACAACAATGGAAGGAAAAGGATAAGAATGTGGTTGTTTCTGCAGGACTAGTGTATTTTCCAGCGTATAAGTCGCATCAGTCAAAAAAAACATCACGAAGAGGAAAAAAAACACATATAAGTCGCTTTGGCATATAAGTTGCATTTATTATGCGTCATCGCTGACCCGTTGCATTTATTATGCTTTTATTTAATGGTCAAAACAGCTTCATTTTGGCTGGGCAGCGCTGCACCATCCATGCACTGACTGACAAATTTATGTAAAAAAAAAAAAGAGACTTATACGCTGGAAAATACGGTACATTGAATTCAAACTGAGTTTAATTATGGGACTTTTTATTTTTATCTTTTCTTTTTGTTGTAGTGAATAAAACTTTATGCTAGCCTTAAACAGTGTACATTATTAGGGGTAAAAACACTTAAAGGCTGCCTCTCACTTGAATTTGTGCTCCTCAGGATTGATGGCCTTCTTGATCGTATCCTTAAAAACTGGAGATTTCAGGTACCGACCATAAGAGTCCTGCAAAACAAAAAAGGGTCACACTGTGCAGTAGATGTTTAAAGGAAATACATAAATAAACGTGCCACACTACCATCCCCGAGCTCCAACTAATGATGCGTTCACTGACCTTCTTCATTAGCATGTAGATGTGAGTTTGTGCTGCATCCAGAACATATCTGTGTGGGTGTTTCAGGCCCTTCACAGTGATTTCCATCGTCTTTCCATCAATATTGATCCATCGCGGTGCGCCACGAGCCAAGAATGCCCTGGGAATGATTGAAGAAGTGAAGAAGAGAGGCGATAAAACTAGCATGCACTCAAAATGAATTAGCAAAATATCCAGACTTGTTAGGAAAAACAAGCTTGTTGCGTAAAAGCATTACTTGTAGATCTGCTCTGCTTTCTCCTTCATTGTCGCAGCAGTGCCCCACTTCAAATCCTCACAACCTTCCCAGAATGCCAAGTTCTCACCTATAAAGTCCAAAAGAGATTTAAAAAAAGTACTTATAAGGTTTACATAAAAATAAACCCGCTAAACTGATGCCATTTTCACCGTTGATTTAAATTCCACCACCTTACCGCTGAATTCTTTCTTCAAGAAGAGCCTAAAATCATCTCGTCCTCGAGGGTCTGAGAGCAGCTCTTTAAAGCTGAACGTCCACCTCTCCACGCGCATCTTTGATGGCGTTTCCACGCTGCCGCGCACACAGATAACCACAGAGGAAGACAATCAGCCAACTGAACAACACAGGTTTTAAACTGCCACCCAGCTTTAAGTGGAGAAAGTGGTTCCTGATTTATCCAAAAACAAGAACGTCGTCGGCAGCTAATCTGGTCCTGGTCAGGTTGCCTGCCTTATGTGATGGCTTGGTTCAGGCCTCGAGCACCAAGACTCAAATGCTTCAGATCTTGGGGAATACTTCCAGGTACGGTCCAGTGGTGTGGCCATTTAATTTGGACGTATCGGAACCAAGAGGACCGACACGGACTCAAGGTAGATATAATCGGTAAAGTTCTGCCTGTCCCCAAAACAATCGTGTTTATCTAAATTCGGCTCCCTGACTGGCCTTGAGAGGCCACCTTGATCTTAATTCGCCTGGAAGCTCCGTAAACCTTGATGCTCTGCCCCTCCCAGGAAGCCTGCAGACCAATCAGAGGGGCCCAGCTGAATAAATATTCTGTCATCATTTCAGGACTCTGGGTTCTATCGGACATTGTCCTTGGTCGTTCTCGGCACCCTCCGAGAGTGTACAGATCTCTCCAGAGGGAACTGTGAACTGAGCGATTTATCATTCTTATCTGAACTCTTGCAGTGCCTCTGTGTGTTGTCTCTGGACATGCTCACCACCCTGGCACCCCCCCCCCCGCCCCCCCCCCCCCCCCCCCCCCCGCAGTATGTCTACGCCATTATGTGCTTGTGTGCAAGTTTTTTTTTTTTTCCATTTTCATGCTTTTAATCTTCAGCCAAAGATTAAGAGCATGTTAGGATTGTTTTTGCCTCCAAAACCTATGTTGTCACTTTCACCACTTTTGTTCAAAGAGGTCCCACTTGTGAATGAGTCGTTGAGGATCAATGTGATTTATCTTTTTAAATAAAAGTTGAATGAAAAAAATATTCATAATGACTCACTTTGGCATGTTCAGGGTCCAATACGTCGTATCGTCAGTGAGCCAGGGGTTACTGGGAAGACACTTGGACAGAAAAGGGTCATGGCCACAATAGGTAGCGCAGTACTTCACCAATCTGCAATTAAGAAAACAAAATAAGTCACTGTCTGAAATACATCTGTATACAAAATTGATATTTTCTTCCACCTCAATCAGCCATAAATACTCTTGAGCTGAAAATTACTTTACATTTTGGTGACTTTCTCTCGGGGATAGACACATTTTAATTGTGTTTGTTACATTTCTTGCAAAATCAGCAACATTTGAAGTGTTTCAAAGCAACTACACTTGCTATTTACTGGTAGAGAAAAAGAAAAATCTGCAATTGTTGAGACAAATCCTGCCATTTCCAGTTACAGTAACTGCAGAAAGTTGGCCATAAATTGCCCAGGAACATTAAAGGTTTTTTAGACTGAAACCAATTATGGCCCTAATTCTTGGATAACACACTAACAAGGTAAGAGCTTCCAGGGAGCTGGAAAAAAATAATTGTGGAATTGATACGATTGTCAACAATAAATGGAGATGATAATGGAGTAAAAATGAGAAAAAAACATGGACTCAGTTGTGATTAGGAGGCAGAAGTTGAGTCTTAGCAGAGGGACAATGGCTGATTTTACTGAGATTTGATTAACTTGTACTTTTGTATGAAATTGGATAAAGAATAGTAACTAATGGAAACTTTATTCCATTAAAAGCTGCCCATGAAAGTATTTTATCAGTGTTCAAAAAAATAAACGCAACACTTTTTGATTTTGCTCCCATTTTTGATGTTGAACTCAAAGATCTAAAACTTTATTTTATGTACACAAAAGGCCTTTTTCTATTAAATATTGTTCACAAATGTGTGTAAATCTGTGTTTCTGAGCACTTCTCCTTTGTAGAGACAATCCATCCACCTCTCAGGTGTGGCATATCAAGGTGCTGATTAGCCAGCATGATTAGGTGTACCTTAGGCTGCCCACAATAAAAGGCCGCTCAGTTTTATCACAGCACAATGCCACAGAAGTAATTTCTGAGGAGGCATGCAGTTAGCATGCTGACTACAGAAATTTCCAGAGCTGTTGCTTGTGAATTAACTGTTCATTTCTCTGCCATAAGCCATCACCAAAAGCATTTCAGAGAATTTGGCAGTGCATCCAACTGGCCTCACAACCAAAGATCACGTGTAACTACACCAGCCCAGGAGCTCCACATCCAGCATCTTCCCCTCTAAGATCGTCTGGGACCAGCCACCTGGACAGCTGCTGAAACAATCAGTTTGCAAAACCAAAGAATTTCTGCACAAACGGTCAGAAACCATCTCAGGGAAGCTCATCATCCTCAACTGTGGCATTAAAACTGCACATTTTAGAGAGGCCTGTTATTGTGGGCAGCTTAAGGTACACCTGTGCAATAATCACGCTGTCTACCCAGCCTCTTGATGTGCCACACCTGTGAAGTAGATGGATTATCTCAGTAAAGGAGAAGTGCTCACTAACACAGATTTACGCACAGTTGTGAACAACGTTTGACAGAAAATGGAATTTTGTGTACATGGAAAAAGTCTTAGACCTTTGAGTTCAGCTCATGAAACATGGGAGCAAAAAAAAGAAGTGCTGCGTTTTTATTTTGGTTCAGTATTAGTGTATTCTCATGATGAAAGAACCAATAAAAGGCATCTGTCTATTGTTGCAGACATTGTAGAAATAAAGAGTTTCTTACGCGCCAATGGACACAGACGACTTCACTCTGGGCCTCATGATGGCCTGCTGCGTGAAGATCATCTACAGAAGTTCAGAGAAGACACACTGAACAACGTGCAACTGTTAGCTGTACAACACAGAATGAGGCAGAAGTAAAAACCTCACTTACAATTCTCTCGTAGTAATCAGGAGTTTGAGCCTGAGGGGGGAAAAAAAAACATTAATCAAACGAAATTTCTATTCCATGCACAAAATACAGTGTGAAATCTGAGAGCTAAATGACTATGAAGTTTGCTGAAAAAGCCTAAACTGAGTCGTTTAAAGCTAAAACAAGCAGAGCAGTAGCTAAAATGAACATAAAAAGTTACATTAGCAAAACAGGCTAAAATTAGCTAAATGCAAGCAGAAAAGCTACACTAGCAAAAACCAGCAGAAAATAAAAACACTAAACTAAACTAAAACTAACAAAACAGTAGAAGCTTAATGCAAAATGTATGCTAACATGGTCAAAATTGTAATAAAAAATATTTTTTTAAATAGTTACATTTAGCTAAGCTGTAGCTAAAATAAATAAACCAGATGCTAAAGCTAAAATAAAATAAAAAACGGTCGAATAAAAGCAGAACAAATGCTAAAGATGGCAAAACTGCAGCTAAAACTAGCAAAACATATGCTAAGGCAAAACAGCAGGAAAAAAAATAGCTGCAATTACAAAAACTGTAGTTAAAAGTTTTAAAAAAGCAGGACTGTAGCTGAAAACTTAAAAAGGTAGAATAGATAAATGCTAATAAGACCTAAGCAGTAGCTAAAAGTGGCTAAATGGTAGCTATATGCTAAAAGGGGCAAGTACGCTAACACAGATTTTAAAGAGCAATGTTTTAAAGGAACTAAAGAATTTCAATGAGGGACTTTATTTTAAATAAAGTTAAGTAATTAAAAAAAACTATAAAAGTTAAAAAAAATGGCATACTATTTCTGAATGAGCTGAATGTTTTGATATATATGAATGGTTAAAATGTCACACAGTACGAAGAAGTAGTTTGAATGTGAAAATGTAGGAAGCGTGCTGACTCAACATTCTCACGGATCTCGTCGTGAAATTATTCAAATCAATTCATAGTGAAGCTGCGAGAAACGGTTCTCTGCCAGCCGAGCTTCTTTGATTTGTACAACCACTGTGAGTTGTAGACCTTGAGAGTGGAAGTTGTTAGGAAAGGCATTTGTTTCCCTTTAAATTACAGTCTCAGAATTGATTATATGGTGCAGACATGGGTGGTGGTGATGATCCAAAAAGGTTATTTGTAACTAGTTTAAAGGTGTAGATTGAAAAATAGAGCCAAGGAAAGTTTCTGCAGAAGAGAAGAAAAGATCAATATTAGTAACAGAGTGCTGTAAACCTAAAAAAGAAAGCAAGTATTGTTTACCGCAGCTGCATTCATGCATTAAAGCTTCTTATTGAATATAAGCTGATTGGAAAGATTTATGTTCATTCAGGTCATGCCGAGACTGACCTGTTACCTCGTCTGCATTAGGATCTGTTCTTCGATCCAGTCCGTAGTCCATGGCACTCACTGTCCCTGGCTGCAGACACAGTAAAAACGCCAATTAGGCATTGTGTGTTTACCAAATGACTAATTAATCACAGCAGATGGCTGTTTTCTAATGCTAATCACCAGCTGAATATGTACAGTGATTTTTCTGGCCATCTGAGACTCCAAGCAGCTAGTTATGAGCAGCAAACGGGACTTTGTGGATTCAAATCCTGCCAGTGTTTTAATAGCTAGTTTTCTGATCGCATATAGTCAGTGAAGGTGGAGGGTCTTGTTTGATCCCTTGCCCTTATCTAATGGTGTCCCACAAAGAAGATTTCTGGGGCCTACTCTTTTCAATATTTATATCAGTAACATACCCCTGGCAGTAGGTGGTTCTGTATGTAGCAGTAGTCAAAGAGGGACTGGATGTATAGATGATGGTATCGTCAGCATATACAGGTATATGCTGACGATACCATCATCTATACATCCAGTCCCTCTTTGACTACTGCTCTGTCTTCATTGGCTAGCTTCACTTTGATTCAACAGGTTTTCACTGATCTAAATCTGGTTTTAAACACAGACAAAACTAAATATATGATTTTCAATCGAAACCTAGCACAAGTTGAGTGCCGCCTTTAAATTTCTTCATCGCCCAGTACTGAGATTTACTTTGTAGAAAGGTATAAGTATATTGATATCTGGCTTCACAACAAATTCACATGATACATAAACGTCCTGCTTTCAAAGGTTAAATCCTGCACCGGCATTCGTTACTGTAATAAATCTTCCTTTACACGCTCAGCCACACAGCTACTGGGTAAAATGACAGTTTGCTTCCAATCCAGGATTATGGTGATATGGTTTACAAGTGTGCCTCAAAAACTCCCCTACACAAACTGGATGTTATCTATCATGCTGCTTTCTGGTTTGTAACTGGAGCTTCTTTAAAAACACATCACTACAATCTGTACTCCCTGATGAACTGCCCTTCTCTTTATTCTCACAGAAAAATGGTGAATTAGGTTGAAAAAAGTTGAAATGAGTGGAAAATATGGAATTAGCTGAAAAAAATAAAATTAGCATAAAAACAGCTAAATAGAAGCTGAAATAGCAGAAAAGGCTGAAACTTGCATAAATAAGCTGAACGGAGCATAACAAGCTGAAATTGGCAGAAAGAGGTTGGAAGAAGCACAACAATGTTGTAGTTAGCAGAAATAAGCTGAAAGGAGCACAAAACAGCTGAAAAAACCCCAGCTGAAATTAGCCGAAAGTAGCTGATTTTTTTTCACAAGGAAGCTGAACCAGATCAAAAGGAGCAGTAAAAGGTTGTAAACAGATCTAAAAAAAAATGAAAATGAGCTCAATTCATTTTCTATGAGGACAAAAATTAACAGAAAAGGCTAAATATTTCACAAAGCTAAAGTTGCACCAATACCAAAGTCATAGCACCCTTCTCCTGAAACAGCTGAACGTTTTTATGATTTGTTGAAAGAGCACAACAATTCTGGAAAGAGAAAGATGCTGAAAAACGTACGGAAGAAAAATGGATCACAATAGTGTGAATGCTTCATAAACGTTCACACAAATATATGAAATACTGTGTGTGGTTATGACATGACACAATAAAATCCAATTAAATTACATATTATTGTCCTGCTGGAGAAACTCTTTAAAAAATTTTTTGGAGACATCCACAAGAGGACAAAACAAGCGATGCACTGTTTGCTTCTTCGACAAACATGTGATGTCATAACCGTTGGCCCCCGACTCTCTGAGCAGTGACTCACATCAGTAAGTGGAAACACTCACTGCTTCTTGTTCTGAGCCGAAGCATCCGTGTTTAATTAAATGCTCTCAGCTGTGTTTCTGCTCCAGCCTCGGCTCATCTGTTGTGAAATTTAACCTCCCGTGGCAAATCCAAGCTAGCTGTTGCAACTTAGGTGCAACTGCTCCGACACGTTTGGTGCACCGGGCTGCGATTGTTGCCCACGTTGTTGAGCTTTTCACAGCGTAGGCTCACTTTAACACAAACCGATACTGTGGCAGCGTCGTACTACCGCCTGCAGCTGCACAAAACATGGAGAATAAAATGTGTAGCGTCAGATGGGTTGATAACCCTGATAAACAGAATTAAAAACAAAAACAATTTCAAACTCTAATTGTTTTTTATCGGATAACTTGACACAGTCCGCCACTTTAGTCAGCGTCACAACTCAAGGCGGGCAGCACGGTGGCGCAACTGGTAGAGCTGCTGCCTCTCAGCGAGCAGGTCCCTGGTTCAAACCCCGGTCCAGGGGCCTTTCTGGGTGGAGTTTGCATGTTCTCTCCGTGCATGCGTGGGTTTTCTCCGGGTACTCCGGTTTCCTCCCACAGTCCAAAAACATGCATGTTAGGCTGATTGGTAACTCTAAATTGTCCCTAGGTGTGAGTGAGAGAGTGAATGGTTGTTTGTCTCGTTTGTCTCTATGTGGCCCTGTGATGGATTTGCGACCCGTCCAGGGTGTACCCCGCCCCTCGCACAGTGATTGCTGGACATGGGCACCAGCGACCCCCGTGACCCAAAATGGAATAAACGGGTAAAGATAATGGATGGATGGATGGACAACTCAAGGCTCTCCGTGTGCACGAGGCGCAAACCGCTGCACCACATTCTCTCGCGCAGTGTGAAATATTAATCAGTGGTGCCCTTTCTGCTGCCTGGACATGTAATGGTAATGAGGCATCATGGGCTGAGATAATGAGATACCCTGGGAAGTGTAGAGGTGACATGCGATTTATTTTCAGGTTTCTGTGTCTGCCGGTGTTACGCAGCAAATCTACACGAAGCTGCATCCTGTTTTCACACCATAAGTCTGATAGATATCTGTGTGTGTGCTTGTATTATCAATGTGGAGACTTAAATCTAATGATGAGAACACTTGTCTCTTCTAGTGACAAAAAGAGCTCCTCTTAATGTAATTATCACCCGCTGTCAAAGGCAAAAGGGCAATTATATTTTAGCCCTTGTCTGAGTTAATTTGTCTGTATCATTAGCAACATGTCTCATAAAAAAAGGACCAGGGGTCTGCAACCTTTACAATCGAGGTATTTGTGCACCTTTGCTCATTAATAACAAAACGTGTCCAGAAAACAGGCTACAACTGTAATTATCAACTGGTGGCCCATGGGCCACTTTAAGTTAGCTAGAAGGGGGGGTTCCAGCCAGTAGGGGTTACAATATAAAACTAACATTTCACGATAACAAATTTTGCTGGGCGATTAATCGTCTCAGAAATTATTGCGATGAACGATAATATTGTTTGGAATTTGACAATAATTAGTAATTATTGTCATTTTTAAGGAGAAACGTTTGTTAATGTGTTTTGCATGTACAGTAGTACCTTTTTTCAACCACCGGATGGCAATATAAGACTGAACTGAAGGATGGATAGTGAGGGAACGAGCAGCATGTCTCTAAGAAAAATGAGAGGGAGGCTTAGCTTAACTTGTAGCTTAGCTTATCAGCTTAGCTGCTTTTAATGATCCAAAAACATGATTTTGAACAGTTAAAATGGATTTTAAAGAGAAAGGTCAGTGTAGAGCACCGGAGTTGAGCCTTTTGTCATCCAGTGTCTTCAGTAGAAAGAGAGACACGAAGAAACGATAAAGCCGATAAATGAAAATGAGGTTGATAATTTTAATTTATCGTGCGATTAATTGATTTATTGTTTATTGTGAAAGGCCTAGGTACAATATAAATCTAACATAACATTTATTTATATTAGTATATGTATTTGTGACATTAAATTTATAAATAAAAACAAATACTTTCATTTACTTTGAATGTACAGTATACTGTATGCAATTGACTTGCCATTTTTCTTCTCGGCAATTTATCTAAAAGGTGTCCCAAAATAATTCTGATGGATTTTTGGTTTAAGCTTCAAAGAGCCGCTGCAAAAGGCCCAAAGAGCCATGTGGCCCCTGAACCACAGGTTGCAGACCCCTGCATTGGACGAATTTTCATGAAACTCCCTGAAAGCATTCCTTGGATGTACAAGTGTCACCGATTACCTTTTGGAGTCAACCAAATTTAAAATGTCTCTCTCAGCTAAGGAACTAGAGAAAACACAAAAATGGCTACAACTCGGACAGTTTTCAGATACTGCGCTAAGATTTGCTGTGGTAGTAGCTGATCATCATCCCCAATACCCACTCCAAGCGCCACACATTGCACAATATTTTTTTCTTTGTACATGGAATCTAATCGTTGGCACCAACCCTGTCTGTTAGCAAAATATCTAATGAATACCTGAATGGATTTTACTAAAATTCTTAAAAAGTAATCATTAGGCTCCTTTTGGCCAATCTAAGATGGCTATCACAGCTAATTGACATTAGTCAACATAACAATGGGTATTTTTACAGACATTAAGCTAAAGTGGTAGTAGCTGAGTCATACCTAATACTAAAATTTTCCACAAGATTACACATAACATAATATACACCCTTTGACAAAAACGGATATACAGTAGTCCCTCACTACTTCGTGGTTCATTTATCGTGGACTCGCTCTATCACGGTTTTTCAAAACAAGAGTGAACATGACACACAATTGGCTGACTGATGGATGAGCCGCACGATCGGCATGGAATTTTTTATTTAAAATTATTTTATCTAGCACCTCCTGCACCTTTTGTGCAGCCCTTACTGCAGGATAAACTTCCTGCTGCAGCTGATCAGCTGTTCACCGTGCAGAATGGAGAAGTGGGCGTGGCCAAGAGCGCTTGCAGGTGGCAAAAGGCAGAGGAGGCAGGGAGCTGAAATCATGACATTCTGTGCTCTTTTAGAGCGTTTAGAGTTTAGAAGCATTGTTTTAGAATATTGCAAGAGTGTGGGAAGAGTTTAAAACACCTTTATATATATATACAAAAATACTAAAACAAACTACTACTTACTACTTGTACTACTATTCCTACTTCGCGGTTTTACACTTATTGCGGGGCTTCAGGGTATAATACCCCGTGACAAACGAGGGACTACTGTAACTCTGTCCCTTTTCCTCGTATTAACGTTGTTTAAACTTCTGACATGGAAGGTGGCAGGCAATATGCGTTCAATAAATGCTAGGCATTTAATTTATATGGTTTAAAACTGAATAAGTGCAAATCAAGTGTGTGTTTTCGAACCGGAGGCCTGTGAACCACCCAGTAGGCTCTCTCCTGACACTCAAACACCACACGGTCTGGTTTCTTCCTCTCTTTCGCAGCTCTAAAAATCACAAACAGGCAAAACAATTGTGTGACAGCGTCCTCACTATAAATTAGAAAGACGTGGCTGAGTTGTCTGCACGTCGCCCACCTGTACTGTTCTTTAGCTTGCATCACGATGAAGTCCCATTTATGATTCATCCACTTGTGAAGATGGTTGTACTGCTCCTGAGAACATGAAATGCCTCAGAAGAAGAAAAAATACACACATCTAAAGTTTTTATTTCTTGACTCTCTCAGCTGGGTCCTCACCTGCTCGTGGAGCTCTAAGATTCCTTTCTTACGTATGTTTCTTTTCGCAAGATAGATTGCTTTAGTGATTAAACCGACAGATTAGTTAATGAATTGTTGATAAAATTAGATAAAATGTACGCACCAACTGTTTGTTGTACTCACCATAATCTGTGTCTTCAACAGGCCACTGCTGTGTGGGCCAGAAATAGGGTGTCTGAATGAAACGAGACAAAAAATCGGATTAAACCTTTTTGTCTGAAGAAATTACCGTATTTTTCGTACTATAAGGCGCACCAGATTATACGGCGCAATATCAATGAACGGGTCTGTTTTCATACATAAGGTGATTATAAGAATCATTAAGCGAAACAAAACATTTACATAAGTCAAACTTTAACTTTAGTTCAACATTGTTCAGTTGTACCACATAAAATCAGTTCCAGGTCAGTAAGCACAGTCAGAATGAACAAATAAGGAGCACTGGATTATAAGGCTCGCTGTCGATTTTTGAGAAAATTAAAGAATTTTAAGTGCACCTTATAGTCTGAAAAATACAGTATAAATATTTTGTAATATGGTCAGTCTAACAAAAGCTTTCTATACTTATCAGTTGTTTGTTAGTAGAAAACAAAAACAAAAATCAACTTTTTTTTGCCAAATAATTGTTTCAATTCCCAAAAAAACAGCTTTTCTATTTACTTCTGTGTATTTAAATACAAACATCATGGATGCTCTTGGAAAAGCTCGCTTTGCTCTGATTGGTCAGCTCCAGGAGCCTGATGAGGCACCACCAAACTTCACCCTACAGTACAGTCAGAGTTGGTCAGTGCTATTCAACTAAATTGCTCTTGGGGTCACAGTTACTGAAAACCAAGAGCTCAGGGGTCGGACATCCAGCCGTTAATGTCATTAAGTTAGTTTTAGGGTTTAAAATCTAATTAGATTTAAAAATGAGCCCACTGGTGGGCCAAACTGAGCTCAGTCAGTTGAATAGCGGTTTTTCAGATCATGTGAAACCCAGAAAAAACAAATAAATGTCTTTATTCTCATTGTTTGGACTCCAAAGAGGTAAAAAGTGTTGGACTCCTACATTTTTTGTTCCCCATCTTGGCTTTTCTTTGTCATATTATACCAGTTTGAGGGCTTGACATGGGTTCCAGGTGCAGCGTGTTTACCTGGAAGCGATACAGGGACGCATCTGGTTTGATCACTAAACGTTTGTGGTCTTGTAAAGGGTAGATGTATCCTAACGCCACCAGCATAGAGCCAACGTTTCTGGCTTCTGCTGACAATAAACAGAGGTATTAACAAGATATTAGACACTCGAGAAATTAGGAAGAAAACAATCGTAAAAAAAAAATAAATAAAAAAGCATACCTAAAATGTTAACTTAATTTAAAAAAGATCCATCATATGAATTTGCATTGCATCAGATGGCTCATCTCTTACCTTGTGCATCTATTTGAAATCTGTCTGCCAACCATGCAACTATGTCTTCACCTGGGAAAAGACAAATGCCAGGCGGACAATTATTTTCAAATGCAAATACGTCTGTTGGTACCATTCTACAGTAATAAAAATGATGTTACTTGAGTCCAAATCCAGAAACTGAGGCTTGTCCACATGCACTTTACCATACCATACCATACCAATTTATTTATAAAGCACTTAAAAAAGTAACAAGGCCAACCAAAGTGATGTTTAAGTGAATTTGAGTGCGTTTTATGCATCTGTGTATGTTTTTTGTGTTAATAGTTAAGCCCTCCTGGGCCTTCTTCCATGGAAATGATTCAAAATTAAACAGATGTGCTCAGAATGGGACATACCTTGATCTTGGAGTACAGCTTAAATGGTTCTGAATGTTTGTTTTTTTATGCTTTTTTAAATTATTATTGGTTTGATTAAACTGGGGTTGCAATCCTTATTTCAATTTTCTTTTAAATGGTGCCACATTTGTTAGAAAATGCATTTGTGGACTGAGCAGCAGAGTTGAGCAGCAAAGACAGAATATGGGCTACGTCCTTAAAAATCTTATAAAATCTCTTAATCTGCTATTGACTCTTGTTTTGTGTGGTTTATTGGCTTAAATGATTTAAGTCTGAAGAAACAAGGCTAATCAGTAATTTAACAATTTATTTGTTTAACAAAAAGGGGCCTCTGGAGCATGCGGAAGAACCATACACAGCCACAACAACCTGGTAACTCCTCGTGCTGCTTAGCAGCTTGGCGAGATGGCGTCCTATTCTTCAACGAGCATTTGTAACAAGTCAGCGAATGTGGTTGTGTTGGTCCCTCTGGAAGAAACAGCCCAAGCTCATCCCACTGGTGTTCCGTGGGGTTGAGGTCACTGCAGGAAGGCTATTTTCTCCTCTCAATCCCAAATTCTAAAGGTAGTCTGTGATAAAACCTTGGCCTGTGAGGGTGAGCATTCTCATCTTGGAGGATAGAGTTTGGCCCTAGATTGAGGAACTATAGGATTACCTCTAGTTGCTTCCATGTACTGACAAACAGGTGCCAATCAGGCCCTTGATTGATTGACAACTGGAGTACCAGCAAAAGTCAATAGTAGAATAAATTGTCTGGAACTGGCAGAGAAGTTTTTTATGTGTGCAACCCACATACTCAACTCTGCTGACATTTGTTGCCAAGAAGCACAGTTACAACAAATAAAAAACTAAACAGAAATGCCCTTACTTTTTGTGCTATGTTTATATTTACATGCACGAAGGCTGTTTGTGTGTGACTGTAAATTCTAGAGGGAAAAGGAAAAGGTGTCATAATAGAAGCATAAAGAAAGACAAGAAACGGTGTAAAGGAGTCCGTTTAGTTTGCTGGAATGCAAAGATCACAAATGACGTAAGAGTCCAGGTTCCCTCTCTGCTCTTCTTCCTCCCTCCTGTTTTTGTCTCTCTTCTCATTCCCTCTTGTCTGTTCAATCATCTTCCTCCTCCTCTTCGCTTCCTACTTCCTCCCTCGGCCTGAGTCTGAGACCGTGGGGGTTGTCATGGAGATGCAATCTGTAGCTCTTGAGTTTGAGCCCCATATAGCTGTGGTATTTTTCAGTGAGAGCATGATCACAGAATCAGCGGCTGAATGAGCGCGCACTGCTGGACACATGCAATCAACTATTCCTGTGCATGTGTGGGCTGCGTTTTCTTACCGGTCATAGCGTGTGGTATAGTTGTGATAACAAGTCTCTGAGGCTGTGACTTGACTCCCGTGTTGGGGTCCTGCATCTCCAGCAGCACCTTCTCTGCCTGTAAAAAGGGAAAAATACGTGTAAGAAAAAAGGTGGGTGAAGGTAGAGGTCACCATGCCAACAAGTTGCTGTGACAACGGGTCGTGGGGCAGCGTGCATGGTGGGAAAAATCTATAGTTGATAAGAAATCTTCTGTGTTTGCAAAAGTAATGTATTCAATGAGTTTCTAGGATGTGATGTTGGTTACGATTGTTGTCCTGGTTTCAAGCATCCCATAGGCTCACTGCCAACCTCAGTTATTGTGTGAATGTTTAGGAAGCATTTACTCTACTGTGATCCATTTTTCTTCGACACGATTCTCGTCCTGCAGTTTTCAGCTGTTTCAACAAATCATAAATCAAAACGTTCAGCTCTTTCAGGACAATCCTGCTATGACTTTTGGTATTGGTGCAACTTTAGATATTTAGCCTTTTCTGCCATTTTTTGCCTCATAGAAAATGAAATGAGCTCATTTTACATCCTTCACATCTTTAGATCTGTTTACAACCTTGTACTGCTCCTTTCACGTTTTGTTCTGCTTCAGCTTCTTTCAGCTTCCTTGTATAAATTTTAACATTTTTTTCAGCTACTTTCAGCTATTTTGTGCTCCTTTCAGATTCTTTCTGCTAATTACAGCCTTTTGGTACTTTTAACTTATGTCTGCTAATTTCAGATTGTTATGCTCCTTTAAGCTTTTTCCTGCATGTTTCAGCTTTTTCTGCTAATTCAGCAAATATTTAGCTGTTTTTATGCTAATTTTAGCTTTTTCAGCTAATTCCACATTCTTTGCACTCATTTCAACTTTTTTCAGCGTAATTCAGTAAAAATGTGCTCTCTCCATTTCCTTCAGGCAATTTAAGCTTCTTTCTGCTTTTTTAGCTACTTTCAGCAGTTTTTTTTTTCAAATTTCATATTTTTTCAGATAATTTCCAGTTTTTGTGCTAATGTCTGCTTCTTTCAGCTTAATTGGGCAAACGTGTTATTTCTGCTTCGTTCTGCCAATTCAAACTTGTTCTACCTTTTCAGCTAGCTTTTTAGCATTCTTTAGCTACTTTAATTTGTTTTCAGATAAATTCAAGTTTTTCATGGTAATTTCTGCTACTTTCAGCTTAATTTACTTCTTTATGATAATTTCAGCTCGTTATGCTCCTTTCAGCTTTTTCTGATAATTTCAGCTTTTTCTGCTATTTCATAAGCTGTTTCTATGCTAATTTTAGCTTTTGAAGCTAATTCCACTTTTTTGTTTTTAGCTCATTTCAGCTCTTTCTGCTTCCTTCTGGTTGTTTAAGCTTCTGCCTTTTCAGCTACTGTTCAGGCATTTCCCCCTATTTTTAGCTTTTTTAAGCTAATTTCTAATTTTTGTGCTCATATCTGCTAATTTAACCTCATTCAGCAAAGTGTTCTTTCTGCTTTTTTATGCTAATTTAGGCTTGTTCTTCCATTTCAGCTACAATTCAGTATGTTTTTAGCTAATTTAAGCTGTTTTTCACAATAAGCATTCACACTGTATTTTCACAGGAAATGCAATTTATCTAGCTATCACCTGCAACATAAGACAAGCAAAAATGTGTTTACCTCTGTGTGTGTTTCTTAACAAAACACCTGATAAACCACAGGTTCGAGCTAAAATAAAATAAAATAAAAACCTATAAGAAGTAATGATTTGATGCACATGTAGTTGAAAAACTTTTGGAGTCAACCCATTTCAAGATGGCTACCACAACTAGCCAGCTTTAGTGCACACAAAAATGGTTATAGCTCATATTTTGAGATAAAATTTGCTGTGGTGGCTCTGAGCACTGTATGATAACACCAAACGATTGCTTAAAACTTTGGTATTAACTGTTGGAGTCAATCCAGTTTGTCTGTTAGCAAAATGGCTTGTGAACAACTGGACGGAGTTGAATGAGACTCTCAGAGAATAATCACTGATTGTACATGTTTATAACATGTTAACTTTTAATGGCAATGCAATTCAAAATGGCCACCACAGGTAATAATCTTCAGCTGGCATAAAAACTATGTCATTTATACAGACCTTAAGCTAAAGTTTGGTGTGGTTGTAGCTGAGAGTCCTTCACAACGCATGGTCTGAGGACTAACAGATCCAACAAGATCTTAGTACGGAATTGTGCATGTTTAGTTTCAAACTTTGACCAAAATGACTTTAACTCCATCAGTTTTCAACATAAGTTGCATGCATTCATTTAAGAGATGCTAGAACTTATATTTAAATATATTTTTAAGCTACACATATTCAAGCTTGTAGAAGTACTTCAAAAATCAAATGAGTGCTGCAACGATTCGGTCTTTGTGATTAATGAACTCTTCCAAAACAACAGTTCAGCGTTTGGTGCAAAAGCTGCGACACTTCGTTAGAAAGTGCCGAGAGGTGAGACAACACGCCGTGATCTCATTCTTCGGCTCATGTGGGTGATTTGCAGTGAGTCACCGTCCTTCTCAACACCGTTTCCGTTTTTGTAACTGATCCCACAGCTCCCGCAGATTTCACAGCTCAGGTGAAAACAAGAAACCTCACAGTAAATTAAAGGTTGCAACGTGATGAAGACCGATGAATTAAAGTCATAAATTAAGAAACTAAATCAGCACATTTGCTTTCTCATTTCAATGGTTAATCTTTCGTCCCCTTAAGAAAATGTACAGACTAAATTTGTGAACAACTGCCTGCTATCTATGAAAACAGCTGAAGTGGCTAAAAACAGGTCAACAACATTGACGTCCGGTCCATGAAAGAGCAATTTAGGATTTAACTTTGGTGTATTTTATGATTTGTTGAGAAAAGTAGCAGATAAAAAGGCTTTGTTTACATTCAGTGCATGCCCACATTTCTGGAATGTACCTGGAATATTCAGTCAATTTAAACTGCACCCTCTAATATAGATTAGAATGACCTTTTGTTGTCTGATTTCATCGTTTGCAACGAGTGCCTTGATTGCAGCATGTGTGTGTGTGTGTGTGTGTGTGTGTGTGTGTGTGTGTGTGTGTGTGTGTGTGTGTGTGTGTGTGTGTGACTCTCAGGTCTGTTTTGAAGTGGCTTTATGCTTTGAAGTCATCCAGGAGAGAGTCTAAGCCTGTAACTGAGCCGGACGAATGTGCTTTTATGGCTCAAAGGGGGATGATTTTCCTTCACGTTCCCCTAAGGGTGCTCACTCTGCGACAGACTAATGAAATCAGGTTTTTAGTTAATACTTTTTCCTCACCATCTTTTGTCTGATGCCAGTTGTGCTGAATGATTTTGATGCATCAAGACACACTCGCATCTGAGAGCCAGGCGGTTGTTCTCACTAGCCTGGATTAACTTCTTTCCAACAGCAGCTCAGGTACAGGTGGGAGCACTTGTACTGATCCATACTTATGCTTATTAAACCAAATGACCTTATCAGTGGGGGAAAAAAGACTGAAGCAAAAGAACAGTTTAACATTCTTGGATACAAAATGCACTGTGAAATTAAGGGGGCATTTGATTAGCATTGTTCTGACTGCTTTTCTGTACACTCAATTAATTTAAAATTACACTGATTTCTTAAACTGAAGAGGACCTGTGGGATTTTCAAAACGCCTCATTGAGAAAATTACTGAATCTTCACCAGCCTAAAAGCAGAAACTAATCAACAGTTCTCCAAGAACTCAAAGAATACGATGATTTTCATAGCCTGACGTAGTTTATAAACCTATAATTTGTGATGTTACAGGAGAGTAGTACAATGTTGTTCATTTTGCATGTGTTGGAGGGTCTGCAGGTGAAAGCCTGTGGGCAGAGATTTACAGCTTACCTGTTTGAGACAAGCCATCCGCGGTCGGTACCTCTGTCCATGGTCCCGGAGAGCATTTCTAATAGTCATGTTGATGATGTTGCTGCACTCACACACACACACACACAAACACAAACAACGCTGCTGTCGCCTGTGAGCTCTGTGTCGTGTGAGGATGCTTGAGGGGAATCGATACAATCGATGGTAATGCTGCGTTCAAATGTCCTACCAAAGCTCTTGTTAGGACGGTGGGACTTTTTAAAACGCATTGTTGCATTTTTTATTTTTCATGTTGAACGTTCACGTTATAAATAATTTAAAGGTATAAATTGTATACGAGTACGAAAAAACAAAGGGCTTCAAACGCACAGTCTTGATTAATTGCCGATAATGGTTGAAAATGTTATATTTTTTGTTTAAACAACCGTTCCGAGCTTTAAGCTTCAAAATTTACCTCCAAATATAAATAAACCTTTAAAGTAATATATGAGCTTAAAATGTTATTATTATTTTTTTTCGCTCTTTTATGGTTGATATTGTGAGTGGCGAAAATGTGAAGATTTTAAATTCCTATATTTTCCAGATCAATTGAAGGCACCGGATCTAAGAGGAAGAACTGAATCAACCAATCAGAGAGCTGCTTTCTCTACGCGTGAACCCGGGTGATGCTGCCTCTGCCAACCAGTAGAGGGCGACATTGCGTTATTTGTCAATTCGGATTTATGCATTGTTAACTTTGATTTTTGTTGGTTGTTTTGGTTATCCAGTTAACAAAACGTATATATATATCGACTAAAGTTAACTTTAAATTGTGAAATAATGGAACTACGGCTCCAAGCGTTTTGAGAGTGACGGTAAACGGTCGTGCGGAGCTACTTCCTGAGTTTAGGGAAGGGGCTTGGTCCCGTGCTCGCGCAGCGCGAACGCGCATCAAATGAGCATCGATGAAGTTTGTGCGAACATGGCGGATTTCCTGCCGACCAGGTCCGTGTTAAAAGTTTGCCTGCCCGTCTGCCTGCTCAACAGCGGCGAGGTGGAACAGACGCGAAAGTCTAAGGAGATCGACAAATGTATCTCCCGGGAGAAAACGTACGTGAAGCGGCTGGTAAAGATCCTGCTGTTGGGCGCTGGCGAGAGCGGCAAGTCGACTTTCCTCAAACAAATGCGGATCATCCACGGCCAGGACTTCGACCAGCAAGCGCGCGAGGACTTCAAGGGCACGATTTACTGCAACGTTATCAAAGGTAACGCCGCCGTTCACGACGTGTACGTTAAAGAGAAGAACCGAGCCGCTTGTTTGGGACGGAAAAGCCCCAGAAAGGCGTTAAAAATGGATGAAGTTTCCACATCTGCTTAGCGCCGAGCTACCGAGGGGAGACCCGCATAAACAGTGTGCATGTGCTGTCGGCACACCCAAGAGAGCCGGGGCTCATTGTAGCTGCCTGTTGCTGCTTTTAAACTTTAAACAGTTCGCTTCATTATAGCTGTAGTTAACAGTCAATAAGCCGTTTTATTATTTTATTTTTTTATTTTGGTTTTAGCGCTCAATGGAGGGTTGACCCAGCAGTGGTGTTCCTGTTTGTACTCTTAGCACGGAAACATTAAAAATGTATATATATTGGTATTTGTACCCCCTTTAAATCTTTGAACTTTAACACATATTGTCTTTTTAACCCTTGAACGATATTTTATGAAAAGTAGTAATTTAAAATAAATTTTTGTTGTATAAAATCTTCAATTAGCCACTAAAGCCACGTTAAATGGTCAACTATTAGAAACTAGAATGGTGTAGGGGCCTTTTTAGCCACTTTTGTTGTAAATGTCCAAACCAGCTCTCACACTGATGCCTCATTAATAATTATCTAATAAATAAGAATCACAAACTTGCCTAATTAGCTGTCTAATTGTGTGTTTTAAGCAAGAATTAAGCACTTTAACTCAAATTAATCATCATAAGGCTACTTTCACAGCAGCTAAATAACGCCGACTCAGCTGTTTTCCAGTTATACGTTGAAAACCTTGTAAATATGTACAATCCTGATTTAAAGTTGGGATTCACGATATTATCGGCGTGGTATCGGTATCGGCCGATACTGGCGATAAAGTTAAATATCGGACATCGGCCATTACATCACAATAACTCGCCGATACAAAAGGCTTCTGTTTTAAGTTAATTTTGAATTTAAGAAACTGTCAAGTATATCTATTAATGCACTACTACTTATGCGCTTTTCACTTGTCGATTAGATTTGTGAAGATTTATAAATTTGCACTGCTTAAGTGTTATTGTGTTAGAGTAAATAATATCCAAGTTATATAAAAAATATAATCCAAGTTGAAGTGTTGCATCATTTTCAGCTCCTTTTTGGCATCTGCATTTGGTAGCAGGCCAAACTGACAAAGACCATGCAGAGTAATGTAGTATTTTAATTTCACAGCAGATAAAGTTATGTAGTCTCTGTAAGTACGTCTAGGGGGCAAAAATATCAGTATTGGTTATTGGCCAAAGATGTTTTAACATAGTGGCATATCGGATATTGGCTAAAATCCAATATCATACATCCCTAATTTAAAATATATTTTTTATATTTATTAGTGGGGTGCACTGATTGCAGTTTTCTGGCCGGTCACAGATTTCTAAAACGTCTGATCTGCCGATTCCGATTTTGGCCGATACCGATTTTGTTTTATAAGCGACACAGTCATGTGTTTATAAGGTCACAATGCACCTTCAATTTTCCAATATTATTGTTATTTAAAAACATACCCTTGAACAATATTCTAGAAACAATACCAACTTGTTTCAACTGACCATGAGGTAGTGCTCTGAAATCTAAATGAAGTTCAGACAATTGTTGTTAAAACAACAACAAAAAAAATCGGTTTCTCGTGTACGTATCAGCCGATTTATTGGTGCACCCCTGTTTATTAGAGATCGACTGATGGTGCAGGTTCTTAAACCAAATGGAGCAATATTTGTGCAATTATAATAAATGCTTATTTAGCAATCCTTATAAGAACTATTACTCTCAAAATTTTACATAGAAGAATGCTCTTATTTAAAAAAGCTACATTGTGAGGTTCATTAAGCTGTTTGTAGAAGCTGTATTATTTGTTACTTGCTAAATGATTAGGCATGTACAGGCATGGCTGGTTTTTAAAAGTAGCCAATATAGTCTAAATAATCAGTCTAATAGTGTAAGATGTTATACCCTTTCCCACAATCAGCTGATGTTTATTTTGTTAATAACTGATACAAAACAGCTTAAAAAACTTAATAATATATGTGTATACTAGTCGTATTTATGTAGTTTTGTTCTTCTGTTTCGCTCACGTGAGACAGAACAAGTATAATTTACTTATGTAGACTATTTTCCAGTCAAATGTGGCCTGACCCTCTTATTTTGGTGATTTCTCCACTTCCTGTCCAGGTGTCCGTGTGTTGGTAGACGCCCGCGAGAAGCTGCACATCCCGTGGGGTGACCAGGACAACCAGAAGCACGGGGACACCCTGATGGCCTTCGACACCCGCTCGTCTAAGGTGGCGAGCGGGAATCTGGACACGTCGGTGTTTCTGCAGTACCTGCCCGCCATCTCAGCTCTGTGGGCCGACTCGGGCATACAGCATGCCTACGATCGTCGCAGGGAGTTTCAGCTGGTAGGTAGATGGAACGCGCGCAGAGATAAAAGCGTCTGCAAAGATAATGGCGGCCCAGCTTTTCTACCGGTTTGTGCTGATAAGAACTTTTCTTCATGTGCATCTGGCGCTCTTTTCACCATCAGTAGATCTTAGAGCAGGTTTCAGGTGGGTCAGTAGGATTTTTTCTCTTTCTAAAACAACCCTTTGAGTTAGAAAATAGCTGTGAGAATAGAAAATGAAACTTTTAATTCATTCTCCTTTTTCCTTTCCTGTATGTTCTGCTCAGATTTTTATTTTATTTTTTTTGCATGCCTCTTCTGCGTTGAGCAGTCAGACATGTGATTAAGTCAGCTTCCTGTTTACGCCTCTCCCCGCTGCTTATATCTCTGCTGTCAGCGTGCACGTTTTAACGCTATGACGTTTCCCACAGAGCAGCAGCTGCGGTCGAGATCTGCTCACATGCCCTCTCTGAGACCTTCCAGTGCTTTTAATTCATCTGGCAGAACTTTCACAACATGCAGCACTTCTAACAATCACTTTTTCTGCCTGTGTGTTTCTGTCAAGTGGGCCCCGCTGAGGCCAGAGCAAGAGACGTATTTCTCCAAGTTGCTTTCAGTATGTCATGATCCAAAAGTTGAAAATTACAAATTTGCACGAGGCTGGACTGTTCAGAGGGATTTTGTTGGTTTCTTCCACGCAGCTTGTTGGTGCGGATTGGTTTTCTTGCAGACAGGAGGGGGAATACGTGTGATCAGAACAGGAATGTTGATCTGCAGTTAAACAGCTTTATACTTACAAGCAGAGCCGTGGCTCTCCTGCTCAGCATTATTTACACACAAACACCAAGAGTGTCACACTCCTCGCGTAACACGAGTACAAGGACACACATTCTGTACGCATGTGGCACGACTTAAACTGTTATCAGCAACTGGTGTAAAACCATCAAAAATCAACATGTAGAATTGTTAATGTGCAAGTTGGCATCTTTGAATCTGGCACAGTGTTTAAGAAATAACCCTAAACGTTCATAAAAGGTTCAAAATAAGTCGTACAGTTCAAATTTAGAAGCCGTTTTTAGGTTCAATGATGAATTTATTATTTGACACGGAACGTAAAATGACAGAAAACACACAAACGTGTTCGATACAGTTTTTATCCAACAATAAAGTAAAAATAAACTTATCAGGCGTTTTCAATATTCAAATAGTTTGGCAGTTATTGGTTTTGTTTCATGCAAAACGGAAGAAAATGTCTATATTTTAATTGCAAATTGTCAGTTTTTTCCCCGTCATGTCCAGTTTAGTTAAAATAACTTGTGTATGTTTTGGTGTCTGTTGGGAAATGATGAAGATGAAGTTCGATATCAGAATACATCCGTACAAGGCTGCACATGCCGATTTAATTAAAAAAATGTATCTTTTCTAATGTAGTTTTTGCTTTTTGTAATATCGTACCAGTTTCAAATGTGAAGTTCAGACGTTGTTTGTTCTGACTTTATTCCAAAACAACATTTAGGGTCTTATTCGCTAATGAACGTAATCTGCAGTTGCGGTCGTAGATGGTGCTTGAAAGCTCAATATTGATTTCACAAATGTGACTTAAACCTAAAACCTTGCGAGCATTAGCTGTGGCAGGGCGGTGCTGAACCACCAACTGGAACATTTATATCGGGATTGTTTCCATTAACTGGTTTGGAGTGGAAAAACTGGGCTGTGGTCTCTCGTCAGCTGGTGGCGCTACCAACTGCGTTACACGAGTTTCTTAAAAAAGTATCTCTAATACAATTCGCTAACGTAAATATATTCCTGGCTCGTGATAAATGAACAGCTCCACCTAAAGTTTCCAGACACTTTTTAATAAGCTTGAAAAGAAGAGTTGGGGAAAACTCTTTTAACAGAAATCAAACCAACAGGTGCATCTAAAAAATTAGAATACAGAAGTCCCTCGTTTATCACGGGGGTTACTGTCCGGACACCCCCGCAATAAGTGACAAACTGCAAAGTAGATATGCTATACGATATTGGATTTTGGGCCGATAACCAATACCAATAGTGATACTTTTTTCCCTAGACCTACTTACAGAGACTACACAGCTTTCTCTGCTGTGGAATTAAAATACGACATTATTCTGAAGGGTCTTTGTCAATTCGGCCTGCAGCAAATGCAGATGCCAAAAAGGGGGGCTGAAAATGATGTAACGTTTCAACTTGGATTATGTTTAATGTCAAATTTCTTCATGACATTTACTCTCTAGCACAATGACAACTCAACGGCGCGCGTGACGTCATAACATCAGTTATTTTGATGGAATGGACGATGTCCGGTATTTAACTTTATCGCTAGTATGTCTGATGCCATGCTGATCATATTGTGCAGCCCCACTGTATTTAGTATTTATAAATATTTTAAGGCTTTATAAACCCAACTCTCTTGCAATGTTTTAAACTCTTAAACCTACTAATTTTAACAACGTACGTATTTGTAATGCGCAGTAGCTACTTACTGCAAAATTTTATGTTGGGACTCATCAGCCTTGGTCCGGTTCTGATCGGCTCTCTGCATCCACTGAGCTCTGAAGTCACTATGAATAAGGACCAAACTTTTTAGTCTGGTTCGGATTGGATCAAAACTTTCCCTCCATTTCAGCAGAAAGCAGCGGCCAGAAGCACTGTTGGCTTCTGGGTAATGTAGTTCTTCTGGACTGGCGATACAGTGTAGGCTTATTGAAAGAAAACTACAAAATGGCGGCGCCTGTCCGAACTAGTATTGTTTTTTTGTTAACTTTTTATCTGTACTGTGTCGATCACATGAGTAATATTAAAGTTAACAATCGTTGAAAAACCGCGAAAGAGTGAATCCGCGAAATAAAGAGGAACAACTATATCATGAACATTTTCAATTTATGTGAATTGAATTGAAAATGGAATTATTATGTAGACTTACCACACAGAGTGAAATATTTCAAGCCTTTGTTTCTTGTAATCTTGATGATAATAACTTGCAAATAATGAAGAAAAACAACTCAGGGTCTCAGAAAATGAGAATATTCCACAGCCATCTTTTGGTACCTTTGTCAGTGTGTGGCAGGAGCCGAGTCCTGCTGGAAAATGAAATCAGCATCTCCATAAAGCTCATCAGCAGAAGGAAGCATAAAGCACTAGAATGTCCTGGTAGATGCTGCATGAACCGTGGACTTCAGGAAGCATAGTGGACCAGAACCAGCAGAGGACATGGACCCAAACCATCACTGACTGTGGAAATTCAGTCTGGACTTGAAGCATCATGGATTCTGGACCTCCCCACTCTTCCTCCAGACTCTGGGACCTTGATTTCCAAATTATGTGAACATTTACTTTCATCTGAAACGAGAACATTGACCACTGAGCAACAGTCCAGTTCTTTTGTCTCCTCAGCAGGCGAGACACTTCAGATGTCTCTGGTTCAGGAGTGGCTGGACTCGAGGAATGAGACATTTGTAGCTCACGTCCAGGAGTTAATGAGCTGATTAGGGTGTGACACCAGGAGTTTATAATATTGACCCTCTTCACAATATTCAAACGTTCTGAAACAATGAGTTTTGTTTTTTCATTATTTGTACATCAGAATCATCAAAATTACAAGACACAAAGGCTTCATTCCCTCTGTGCAATGAATTATGTAATATTGAGCTTCACTTTCTAAGTGACTGACAAAAACTACTGGACGTTTTAGATGCACCTGTATAGTTCTGTGTAGATTTCCCCTCCTTCCTCCTGTTGGTGGGGTCCGGCTCGTTTCCCTGCCAGCAGAGGAAACTCGCCCTGTTTTGACCCTGCCCTTTCGAGTATTTGCATCACAAATCACATGATCCCTCAGGCTCCATTGTAGTCGGCATTAAAAATCTATGGCGAGCCTGAACGGCCTCCGTCACTTTCCGCACCGCGTGCGTTTCTTTAAAATACTCCCAATTAAATCCGTTCTTTATCGTGTCTAATGCAGAATCGGTGAGCGCAACCTTTGGCTTTGGTTGCATAACGTTTCAGTTTTGCTTTCACGGCTTGTTAAGTTTAAGCTTCGTCATGACGTAAAACAAGCTGGGCTTGTTTCACTTCTCCTTTTATTTATGGTTTTTTTTTTTTTTACTATTTCAAAACCTTGTCAGATTTGAGTTTCTTGACTCATCCAAAGCCAGAATGTTAATGGCCTTTATCACATGTAGCTGGCTCCCCTTCCCTTTTTTTTATTTAGTGTAGCAGCGAACCGTCGTGCTCCTCCCTTGTGTAATCGTACCCATGCACACACATTCACACTCACAGGTTTTTCAGGTCAGGTCGGGTTTTTTTCTTTTTTTTTAAACATCAAAATGTGAGAAGAGCAGCACACAATAGAAAGGAAATAACTGGCATGTGCTGCTAGTACACCTCCAACCACATCTGGCTCAATTTGATTTTTATAGTGATAATGTCAGTTCTGTGTTGTGTTGGATGCAAAGTCCATGCAAAACAACCGAGGTTGGAGGTGCAAAAACTCTGCGAAAGACGGCAAAGAGAACCTGTGGCTTTTAAGGTCATTTAAAAAAATTTTTTTTTAGGTTTGTATTGAGCAGAACTCGCACAAGAACACATAGATACGCTCATGTAAAAGAATGCTGCTAAGACCTAGCAACCCCAAGTCTGGACTTGTACAAACTGCACAAAAGCAGCGCCAGAAGAAACCAGAAAACAAAACAAAACAAAAAAAACCCTCTCCAACACACGCGCGCAGTCGAACCCAGCCGCACCATCAAAGACGCACCTAAAACTCGTGTCACTTCAGCACCAAATGATTTGCATCCTGCTCCTCCTCGGCTCCGAGGTGGACACACCGTGTTCAGAGAGAAAACAAACAGATTTCCTGTGCGCGTGTGCACGGCGGCTAAAGAGAGATCTTCTCGTGTGCCTGTTCAGTGCCTTCGTGCCAACAATACGTCGCTTCTGTTAAATGTAATAATTCAAATAATCAATGCGCTCTCCGTGCAGATCGTAGCTGCTCATGGTGAAATGACAGAAGTTCATAAATTATGTGGAATTAACAGAAATTCCTCCTCTGTCCTGTCCCAGGGTGAGTCAGTGAAGTATTTCTTGGATAATCTGGATAAGCTCCGCAAGCCGGTAAGTTGTTTCTGTTTGCTCTTATTGTTCACTTTTGTACATAATATAGTTAACATTTCAAGTCTAGACAACAT